AGCAGAGATCCTGCTGGTTTCCTCTGTTTGTGTTTATCTCCAGAGCAACAGCAGCAACACTGCATGAACAAGCATGTGCAAAGTAAGCTGTGAATGAACACTGGAAATGACAAAATTAAGCAGACGCACACATACAAGCATATTTCCTCACACCATTGTAACCATCCACAGCTCCTGATGTCAAACTGTTGAGTCATATAAAGCCGATAGGAAAATTAAATATGACGCGCCCTTTAAATGATAGGGGGGAACATAGCTTCCACAACTCACAGAAGTTCAACCAGTGCTTTAAAGTCACATAAAAAAGTGTTTCTTTTTGTAATTGTTAGCTCTGAAGCTAACCAGCTACTTATTGAATATATACGTAACATAGCTTAGCTTAAAAAAAGCTAAGCTATATAAAAAGCTAAATTATATTGTGTCTACAATACAACAAGAAAGAAAAAGAGCACAATTTCATTATTCTGCTCTTTCTTCTTTAACATTATTTTGTTTCTTTCAAGTGAAAGAAGGATTTCAATTAGCATCCATGCTAATAAGAGCTAATCATCTGTTCAAGTTTTCTTTAGTAGTCATTACATTTAGAAAATATAATAAAAACATGAATGAGGCGTTTGTCTTTTTGAGTAAAATATATAAATAAATAAAATAAATAAAGTGGGTAGTGCTGCTGCCTTGCAGCAAGTAGGTTCCTGGTTTGATTCCCGGCCTGAGTTCTTTCTGTATGCAGTGTGCATGTTCTCCCTGTGCATGTGAGGGTTCTCTTCGGGTACTCCGGCTTCCTCCCACAGTCCACACACATGACTGTTAGGATCATTGACATCTCTAAATTCTCCCTAGGTGTTAATGGTAGTTTGACCTGTTTTTTTGTTTTTTTTGTGTTGACCTGCGATGGACTATCGGTGTGTACAGGGTGGACCCAGCCTCTCGCCCTTAGACAGCTGGAGATAGGCACCAGCACCCAGCTGGGATGAATGTGACAGAAAATGGACGGATGGGTTATGTTGTATTTTGTCACATAAATCAAATATAAATAGATCCACACATCACTTTGATATTTTCTTAGGAGTTTTATGAAACACATGTGCCATTTTGCACCATAATGTGTCATTCATTGTGAGGTTTTCCTGAAAACGTCTTGCTCAATCTTTTTTTTTTTCACAAAGAAAGCAAATGGCTTATAATTTGTCATCGTTCGTCATTTATTCCAACAAGATTGTTCAATAACTCACATGCTGAAGATGCAAATCCTGTCCCTGTCATGAACTGCAATACATCTTTACCGCAGTGGATCAGGAAATTACAAATAGTTTTTTGATAATTTTGATAATTTTGATTACTATACCTTACTCCATCCATCCATCCATCCATCCATCCATCCATCCATCCATCCATCCATCCATCCATCCATCCATCCATCCATCCATCCATGAGACTAAGTTTTTAAAGATGACATAAAAAAAGACTTCATTCTAATTAAGACTGTTTAGTCTTAAATAATCTATTATAGTTAATCTGTTCATTGTATGCTATGAGTAAAACCTTTTAGGAGTTTGTTGTATAGATATGTAATATTATTGACAGTTTTAACAAACTATATGCCAAATTGTTAAAAAATATTGCCGTTATAATCCATAGAAACATACGTCACTGTTTTGCAATGAGGGTGATGCCATGCTGATTATGCAAAACCAAACCTAGAAACATTCTGTAAAAGACACCCCCCACCCCCAGTTGGTATGGGGGAAGCTGAAAGAAATATTCTCAGCAGACATCTAAGCTTAGATTACCTGAGTCACTATTTTTCATATGATGTCATTATTTGATTTAGATAAACCACACATTTACTGATGTGCTTCATTCATGACTGAGGCTTAGGGTGACTGTGTGATGTAAGTTTCCAGTACTTTAATATGAAGCTTGTAATCATTGTTTTGTTCTAGTGTGGGATAAAAAGGGCTTGGTTGTCAAACTCCCATTTAAGGTGCCTTGGAAATTCTTTTGATGTTATGCATCCAATCTAACAGTCCTCTCTTTGAGGAGTGTACGCTCTGTGGTTAAAAAAAAAGGTGTTTACTTCTTGGGACTAAAGAGTACTTTTGTGTTTCTCACGGCTAAAATCAGGCACTTATTGAAAAGTTGAAAGCAACAGTTTTCATTGGAAAATTTTAATTAGATTTAAATATTTTACAAAACCTGGCACGTTGGTCACTGGGTTGATTTTGGAGACATGTACTTTATGTATCAGTTAAAAAACAGACATTTTTTAAATCTTCATTTTTTTTCTCTCTTTTTTTGATGGACTTATAAAGACTCAAATCTTCAAGTTCTAGATTTTCCTTAATTTCACCAATGTTATACCTTACCATACAATACAACGCTGGTTTTATTTGAACAAGTTTTTCAAAAGTCACAGTACCAGTGCTGTACCGATTACAGGCAATAAATCACAACAACAGTCAATATATGCAATATAAAATTGAGTGGAAAATGAAAACAATGAAAACAATAAATTAAATCAAAAACACAAACCAATTAAAACCATCTTAAATTAAACTAAAAATCAACATTTTGGATGTTGCCAAAAGTCGAGGAGGAGAGAATGGTTTTAAGAAGCGATTTAAAAGTCAACAGGGAAGAAACCTATCTCATGCCCAAAGGCAGGTCGTTCCAAATCTTAGGAGCAGCAGCAGAGAAGGTATGATCCCTGTGAAGCTTTAGTTTGCTTTTTTGGGATACTCAGGAGCAGCTGATCTACAGACCTGGGTGAGCAAGAGGGGTTACAAAGCTGCAGCAGCTCAGTAGGTAGAGCCAAGCAAGATCATGTAATGCTTTAAAAACAAATAAAGGGTCTTTAAAATGTACGGGCAGCCAATGCAGCGAAGATAAAACAGGAGGTAATGTGCTCATGTTTTTTTTTATGCCAGTTAAAAGACCTTCTGGAGGAAGCAGCAGAAGAGAGGAAGGTCTGATGACTATATAAAGCCCATTACAGTAATCTAACCAAGAAGTGATGAAAGAGGGGATTGCTGCCTCATATTTCGCTCTAGAAAAAAATCAGCTTAGCTTTTGCTTTCACTACTGCTCTGATATGATCATCAAATTAAGATCATTGTCCACTTTGACTCACAGATTTGTAATGACTGGTTTGATATATTTGCATGCTTGATACTATTTTAATGTTTAACCATTAGCAATAAGTGTCTTAGTATGGCCCTAATACCCTGTCCATACCATACAATTAAGAGACCAAAGAAAAAAACATCAGGTCAGATACACACCACAGTGCCATTGGCCAAGTTTGGTAAGCTTGTGAGTGTATTTTATTATGTTTTGTTTTTGTTTTTTATACTTTAATAATCCCAGATGGAAATTACTTATCTGCATTTAACCAGTGTATTCTCATTATCAGTTCGTATGAAATCGTACGAAAAGTTATGCACAGCATTTCGTACGTTTTGGACGTTTTTCCTTGAAAAAACAGATCAGTGCGCATGCGCAGCCAGACAGACGAAAAAAGCAGATCCGCGGACGGACGTAAAACTGGGAAAAACAGTGCAATAATTACTTCTTGATGTCTCTCACTAGGTTGCTTGCTGTTTTGTATCTTAGGGTTAGGGTTAGGGTCAGGGTTAGGGTTAATTGTATGTTAAATTCTATGTTATTGAATGGTTCGTAAGATGCGCATGTGCAAGGATATCTTGTCTCGAGGCAAGACGTAAAAATACGAGGAAATACGACGAACAAAATGTCAAAAACGTACAAAATTACTGTGCACAACTTTTCATACGAACTGATAATGAGAATATGTTGATTTAACCCATCCCGTTGGGGAGCAGTGGGCTGCCACTGTGGGGCACCCAGGGAGCAGTGTGGGGTTAAGTGTCTCGCTCAGGGAGCCAGAGTGACAGTTTGTGGGAGTGGGGGATCGAACTCACAACCTCAGGATTCAAAGCACAATGCCCTAACCCAGGGGTCTGCAACCTTTCATATCTAAAGAGCCGTTTTGCCCAGAGTACGACCAAATAAAAATAGTTTAGAGCTGCAAAATATACCATGACTTTTCTAGAAAACCTTTTTTGTTTTTTAATCTCGTATAGGAAATTAGTTGTTGCCATCTCAAACAATCAATTTATATATTTTTAATGTTAAAACATATAATTTTCAAACTAATTCATAGAAAAATGTCTCTTAAAACATATTTCTGGTTCTTTTAATCTTATTCTTTTCCATCTTATAAAAAAACGCTAAAGCTACATTATATATTATAGTAAATTATTGAGCTGTTAATATACATTTTAGCCACTAATAAGAGCCGCTGGAGAGGGTCCAAAGTGTCCAGATTGCTGAAAAAATGAAATAACCGTTCAGCATTTCAGCAGGGGCCACAGCTATTATAGAAACATTTAGTAACAAGCCAAAATGTGTATCACTTTTTGTACTATTCTAACATTCATGCCACGCCTGATAAGATGCTGCTCTGGGCAGTGAGCCATGGTGTCCCAGTCAAAAAATGCAATTATGCACTCTAACTGGTCAGGGGTCAAAATGTTTTTTGGGGTTTTTTTGTGGAAAATTTAGCTGTTGACTAACCACAAAAGCAGAAGAGAAAGAAAACTGAGAAGTTGTTTTTTTCTTATAATCTGCAACCAAGGGTCACCAAAATTGAAAGTTATGGGTTTGCTAAACCTCAGGATCTGTTAAGAGGTCAGGTAGATAGAAATGTTCTGTTTTTAACCCAGATTAAAAAAAAAAAAAAAGAATCTATCCATGCTGTAATTCTCACCCTTTTTCATGATAAACTTATTGAATAAACATTTTCTCTCCCTATTACCACAAAGACACTGCACAGACAGACGCACTCCATCACTCAGCAGGAACATACATGACGCACCGCTTACCAAATCAAGTTTACTGAACCGGGACCTTCTGGTGGGTGTGGGGTGATTTCAGTTACAGGGTGGGGATCAGCAGTGAGGCAGAGGGGCGTGTTTCTGCTTTAAGTACCGAGCTGCTCCTGGACAAGCGTAGAAGTTCATAAAAGCAAGAGCGACGCGCGTCTCCACAAAAGTTTCCAATAAACTAAAGAGAGCGCAGTATTTTGGCCCAGGAGAAATAAGAAGTTTCACCGCTGATCCAAAGAAGAATAAAAACCAGGTCAGCTTCTTTTTTTTTCTCTCATTCTTTTTCAGGGTTGGACTTAAAGCTTTATTGTTATGCCTTGTTTTTAGAGAAAGTGAAATCTTATTAGATTACGCCTCATTTGTTGAAAATGAACATTAAATCATGTCTCATGCTGATAATATTTGCCCAGTTTTCTGTTCTTCACTCCCTAAATTCACTTTGTTGATTAGTTAAGGTCCTATCAGGACTTCAGCTTGTTTGGTTGTATTCAACAGCTGCCTTTTATATTTGTTTTTCCCAAAGATTCTGCTCACTTTTACAACCTGCATTCAATTCAGCATTTATATATTTTAGGATATAATGTTCAGAAACAAACCCAAATTCATACCAAGAAATGATTATGATCATTTACAGAAACATTGTTTCTGTAAATGATCATAAGGTATTTATTTTTGTTTTGTTAAAAATGATCTTTTTTGGAACAAAAAAAAAAAAGAACTCTTTTTTTTAACTCTTTGAATAAACTTAGAACCACGTCTAAATCTTATCATTTTCTATTATGTTAGCACATTCTCGACAACAGTGTGATTAAATCAATCTGGGTTCACTATCAATCTTTCTATGATTTTTTTTTGTGATATGCATTCAAAGTCAATAGGTGCATGTCGACAAATTATACATTTTAGAAACAGAAAACTTTTTGGTTTAAACTTAAAGCATCTTCAAGTCTGAGTTAGAGAAAAGGGGGGCTTCCTTTTAGTTTTTGCACCATGGCTTTTTTCTAAACTTTCACTCTAAAATGCAGGAAGAAGTCTAGGAATGAAACTGTAAAGTTAGATTGTATTACTAATTTATAAAATGCACAGCATTTTTAAAATGCACTGACATGTCCTCTGACATATCAGCACTGAAAGATTTTTTTAAGGAGACTAACATCCCCAAACAAACAGGCCATTTTTCATTTTAATTGCTGAGCAGAATGTGCAGCTTTCATCCCGTATGGGAGCCTAGCAACCATCCTGTATGCCAAGCAGAGGTGGATTGGAGGGTTTATACACTGATGCATGCGCAAATGATAGGCAGAAGGAGAAAACAGGATTTAAAACCACTTTATTCCAAACTTGTTTGATGTCTGTGTTATAAGTTTGTCGTTAAGGTAAGAAAAATACAGCAACTCTGTCAAATTACTTAGTTCTTTTCATAGGTCTTTATATTAGTTACTTTATCTAAGTTACTTGATTTACAGTTTTAAGCACCGCTATAAAGGCAATAATAGTCTTAGAGAAACATGCAGTAAGTATTTGTCTAATACAGAAAACAGAAGAGGAAGAGAACTGTTTTCTTTTCACCATCTGAAACCATGTAGTAAAAGAAAGGAAAACTCCCACTGGAAGCATACTTCACCAGTTACCCTTTCATAGATGGTACACACATCCACACAACTGCACACACATTCTTCTTAAGCACGGGTTCTCAAGGCCTGATGCGTTGAGGGACCCCACCCGACTCCCCCCTCACTGGCCTTTGACCACGGCTACATAGTTTTGCTATCACTGCTTTTTAAAAAGCCTGCTATGTCCATTTGACATGATTTGCCTTGATGCAAATACAAACATCTTGTTCATCCACATTGTTATATATGTATATATATATTGTAATTGAATCAATCAATGGCATGCAAACAGAGAAATGCTTGCACAGTTCTAAGATAAACTTAAAATGATTTCGGTATTGTTACAACATGTTGATATTTTGGAGAAAAAGCAGTGCAGTGGACAGACATGCAGGAAAATCCCCAGAGAGTGGCTGCAGATAAAGACTCTTTGGTTAAGTAAAGTCAAGCTCTGTATTCTTTGTTTTGAGATGAGGTGGGGATGCATTAAAAATCGGCTACATATGTGAGAAACTCTACACAAGCTGTTCCTCTCAGTGTTGTTTTCTTTTGCCTTGGCGTTCTATTAGGTACTTTTGCTACCCATCATTTGCTCAGATTATTAAGTGTATCTGACTAAAAGCTCCTGGGCCTATCTGTCTTAAATCCTATGAAAGATAAAAATCACTCATCTTTTAATTCATAGCAATTTGATTTAAAGGTTTTTAAAATAATTTAAGGACATGTTGAATCTGTCTGGTGTTTCAGTGTTTATACACACTTTATATTAGATTTAAACAATTTAAATAAAAATTTCCAGACAGATGTTTTTATGTTCTGAAAATTAAAGCTCCAGGATTAAAAGAGGATGCACTTTCTTCCTAACAATAAATCTAATGCTTCTACTTAAACTCTGTTTAAATCTGTCTTTTGACAACAAGATAAATCTTTAAACTATGAATCCAAATTATTAAAACCATATGTGCACACACACACACACACACACACACACAAAAAAAACATTTTAATCATATGAACTACATTGATCTGCAGTTTATGTTGATGTGCAGGCTGGGTGCAGCAAATTGAATCCAGCTGCTTGTAAGAATTATGCTAGAACACACAGGGAGTTTACCCATCCAGGTCTGTGAAAGATCTTCTAATGCTTGGGGAATGACTGAACGTCTAATTTAGATGTGATGTCATTGTGGGAAAAACATGAAAAAAAGGTCTTTGACCTTTTCATGAATTAAAGATGCAGAGAGAGAGAGAGCTTGGGAGCTCTTTGGTAAATCACACAAGCTGCTGTGGAGGTGGAATGAAATGTACTGAAACTAAATGCCATCACTCTGATAGCTTATCTTTCTTGTCTGGTTAATTTTTGCAGTTCTTCCAACAAGTCTGATAAAGATTTTCTTTTCAAATGACAGGGTCATGCCGGGTTATGACAGGGTTAAGTAAGAGAACTGCTTGCTCCATCCAACAAAGGATGGGTTATATGTGTATAGTTACTTCTTAGTTAATTATTTAAGGTATGCAACATCTAGAAGCTTTGTTCACCAAAAAAAAAAAAATGCCAATATTCTTTTTTTTCTGCATCTTTCAGAATGCCAGGTGAGCGGCTAACAGTTCGGAACCCATCTGAAATCGGGCGTTTCCCCGGAGCAGCTCCGCCCACTAGGGTGGAAGTTACCATTCAGAGTGAAGTAGGGAAGAAGCAGGAGGAGGGAGGCTGCCGTCGCTGGTTCAGGAAGATCTGTCCATGCTGCTGTAAGCGTCAGAACAGTACCTCTTATGATGTCACAGATAAGGTGGAATACACCAAGCCTGAGACCCCTGCTGCTGTCACGGTGCCTGAGCCTGTCAAACCAAAGCCTGAGAATGGAGAAATGAAGGAATTCGAAGGTAGAATCAAAGTTTTGTTCTACATTTTGAATAAATCATAAAAAGCCAGATATAAAGCCAGAAATTGAATTTTTGTTCGTTCTATTCTGTGTGTTTCTACCCAGAAGTCAAGCTGTCAGTGTGCTCGGTGGACCTTCTGAGTTCCAAGACTGGTCAGAATAGAATGGAGCATCACACTGATCTGTACCAGGGGGACGAGCTGATCATCCGCAGAGGACAGACCTTTCAGATCGAAATAGAGTTCAACAGGCCCTTCAGCGCTGACACGGATAAGGTGAACTTGGAGCTGAAAACAGGTCAGTTAAGAAAAAAAAGGGGTTTTCATGGTGCTTCCATTTGTTTACTTGAGACATGGAGGAGAAGTTGTAGCGATGCCAAATTTGATGCCTTCTTGGCCTAGTTTGAGGTTCCTAAATAGAAAGAATAATGTGAAGATCAAAATCTTAATCGCGGCTCAGTTTTTCAACAGCTCGGTGCAAAAAAACGTGCAGTCTGATTGTTCTACTTTTGATGTTATGCTGTTGGTTTCCTGATGGCAACAGTTCAGAGGGTGTGAGCGGCTTCACACAATATTCAAAGACTTCCTGCAAAATCTCTAAAGGGAGGAGATGGTTCAGTGATCCTCCTCATCCCCCCCTCACTGTCTTCATCACATTTCTGTCATTTCCCAAAACGCAGCTGAAGCTGAGTGGCACTTTTTTAACACGCTTTTAAGCACGTCACTGTCCAATGTCAGGATGTTGGTTACAGCTTTTTGCAGCATTACAGCAAAGTTTTCAGAGATTTACACTCCAGCAGATTTCATTCTCTAACTCTCTCCACTGCACGGCTGCTGATGCTGAGGGGTTCGTGCTCAGGTCGTCACTTTGAGCTGCACTGCAGCGATAACTGCCTCAGGATCTGGATTCCTCCCAACATTTCCTCAGAGCTAACAGTTTCCAGACCTCAGGACAGCAGACACCTCCCTCTGGAATCTTACATCCCCATACTACACACTTGTGGATAGATGACCATATTATGCATAGCAAGGCTTCACTATCAGCCAGTGCTTAGATAACTACTAGGATTTTTCTCAGCTGCATTAAAAGGGATGTGTCTGCATCAAGTACTTGAAGCGATTTAAATTTCTAAATCAGTCATCTGGACAAAAGTTAATTTTATTTTGAGGAAAAAGTTGTTTCTTTAGATAAGAGACAGTGCTTTCGGTTAGATTTCCTTTTGAATAAATATTCACAGGGAGGAGAGGAAGGGCACGGAGTCCTGGATGCGGTCAGATGGGGAACAATGGCTTCTTGATAAACCTAATGCAGGAGTCAGATATGGTCATCTAGCTGAGTTACAGAGACCCAATGCTTCCGTTGAGAGCATTCAGTGTTTTGGACAGTCAGCGGGCTTGTGAGGCAATAACAGCCTATCACTCACATAAAGACAATCATTTAAACCAACTGTTAAAACACATGTGCTTTGCTTTCCAAATGGAAAGAATGAATGTGTTGGAGGAATTCCAGGCTTGAAGGTTTGTTTACTTAAAAAAAAAAAGTGCAGAGCTGGGAGGGGCTGGGATACATATGTGGTTTAAACTGTGCTCTCAGAACTCCCTGACTATCACAAATATGGCTCAATCTGTGTTCAGCATGAGTTAAATTAACCATAAGCTCTGTGCTCAAATTATTAGATTTTTTTTTTCAACCCAAATTTAAATTAAAATTACCTTAAATCTTAACTGGAATTAAAAAGATTAATAGAAGCACATTGAGTTGAATGAACCTATGTGGGACTAAGCAAGAACAATGTGAAATTCTGAAATAAGAGAACTTTACAAAGATATTCTAACTTAATGAATATAAATGTTAATACCTACTCAATTTTTTGGATGTGATACTCATAAAAAAAAATTCTATCCGGCTATCACAAATTCAATTCAATTTAACTCAATTCAGTTTATTTATATAGGCGCCAATTCACAAAAAATGTCATCTCAAGGCATTTTACAGTTCACCAGATCATACAGTCCAATTTATTTAAAGTTTTCTATCTAAGGAAAACCAGTTGATTGCAGCCATCCGGAAAGATGCAGAATTTACTAAACTCTTCAGAGACTTTAACTTACTTTGTCATTCTTTTATCAAATAAGAGTAATATTTAGCTTTTCAGACCAATGCAGGTTTTGAATGTTGGGGGATTTCTTTAAAAACAGGACCTTTTGTCCAAACTACCCGAGTAACCTTTTAACATTAAAGGTCATATTTACTGGAATTTAATAGAGGAAAAATATGCTATGTTTGAAATTATTGTAATTATGAAGGCCTTGTACACAGGATGTCAATGAATGTGGCAAACAATGTAACTTCTAAAGAGCTCTAACAATCAAAAACCAATGTCACCATTTTGAAATCCCTCAAGCTATATACTGTATATAATGCATAATCTGGTTTGTGTGTCCCAGGTCCCTTGCCCCTTGTCTCTAAAGGGACCCATGTCATCATTCCAATGGTGGACCACCTAGAGGATGAACGCTGGGAGGCCAAGATCACAGAGCAGAACGGCAACAAGATCAGGCTGTCGGTTAACTCCCCAGCCAACATGGTGATCGGCCTGTACGGGCTCACCATCACCACTCGGTCTGGGAAGGACGAGGTACCGACAATTCACAAATCCAACAAGGACATCATCGTGCTCTTCAACCCTTGGTGTGAAGGTAAGCTGGCAGCAAGGAGGAAGAGGGAAAAAGGGTTTGCATTAGGATAGCACGATATAATCGGCCCCCTATCGGTATCGGCCTGTATCGGCCTTAAAACTGAATATCGGACATCGGCCACCCCACCGATATTTAACCCGATATTTGATCAGCTTCTGAGTACTACTTCTTCCTCTTCCTCAAAAACTTCTTTTTTACAAACTTAAAAACTT